GCATCAAACGTATCCGTATCCTGCCATTTCCCTCACACCCAGGATTTTGTGCCATAGCTTGCAGCCGGGCTTCAGGTTGCAAACTGCAAAAGAATTCGTCTTCGAATTGTCTGTGAATGCATTGATTGGATTGCTTCAGGTGGACAACTTCTCGTCCTCCGCCCGGGCCCTCGCCCTCCACGGCACCCCGACGCACAGTAGTGCTAGAGCTGGAAGTCTCCTGCCCTCAGCTGGTCAAATGATCAGCAAGTTTATTGCCATCATCAATTGGCCGCCCATCTGCCCGGATGGGGTTGAAGATGCTTGAAGTGAGAAGTACTCCTTGAGGACCCACATTTGGGCCCACGGCATTTTGGGGGGGGACTTGGCCCTCAGGTCCCAAACTGATTTCAAGTCCCACGGCGGTTGGGTTCTAGTCGAAGGTTCCCCACGGCCAGGTGCTTTCAACACTACTGAGTGAGGGATATGACCCCTGTTCATTGTCATAGAGCAACTGTGAGCAATTCTATAGATCCAAATGTTGATCCACCTGCACCATACATACTTCATCATACTTCCTCTTTATGGATGAGATTGACAGTTGACATCGAGTCACAAAGGAAATCGAGCTTTCTGCAAGGTTCTTCTACGTACAGCAACAGTGCATGAATCAATGGTTGATTGTTTGCACTCCCCCATGTTTAGACCTCGACACTCTATCATGCTACACCAAACCCACTTCCTGCCCCCAGTGACCTCCTAAAATTGAAGAGAGGGGTCTGCAACTTGGCTGGAGGCCATCGCTACTAGGTTGGAGGCCATCGCTAGTAGGTTGGAGAGCCATTGCCATTAGGTTTAGGTTAGTAGCTATCTCTTCCTCAATTAAGTAGGCGCCGGCCGCTTACTCAATAAAGTAGAGAGGGGGAGCGATCTAAAACAAATGAAGAGAGTGGCGACGACATGTCGTCAAGTTGCTCCATCTCTTGGAGGCTTCAGCATCACCTCCGATCGGTCGGTCTTCGTGTCGGTGTTTGTGTTCCGTTGGTCTTGGAGGTTCACTTCAAAAGCGACCCGGTCGGACCCCCCTTCTGGGTGAAGTGGTCCGGGGTGATTTGCAGAACACATTCCCTTTTCCTTTTCATTTCCTTTCGAACACTTTGTGACACGTTGTGTCCTCAATCTTTAATGTGGACAATGAGGGTTGTGTCCAATATGTGATACAATCTTTAACATACCAATGTGACACAATCTGTGTAATACGAGTACTTGTGGGGCACAATACTTGACCCTCAATGTTCAATAGTCTCGCATGATGAATGAGCTACTCCTTCGAGCTTGATTCGTGGAGTGAGCTGCGAAGTTGGAACGTCGGTTCTGATTCGGCATCAAAAGTGGACCTACCTGATGCAGGCGCAGGTTTTCTGAAAAGGTGGAAGGGCAAAGCACATATTGAGCAGTCAGATTGGAAGGTCCTTTTTGCAGTTGCACACTGGGTGGCATAGAGCTCCGGGCTCTGGCAATGGCAAGAAAGTGGCTGGGCCACAGTTGGAGCAATGGTCAAAAGAAAAGTTAGGGTGCAGGACACATTCCATTTTTTGCCAATTTCTGTTCTCTGAGTAATTGGTGTTTCCCTTGAAACATGCTTACTAGAGTGGACAAGGAAACTACATTGACAACAAAAGCGGTGTGGACGTCACTTGTGGATTGCACAAAAAAAACACGATGGACAAGCGGCAAAAATCAAACAAACACACACACACACACACACACACATCCACGTGATTTGTGAAACGCGTGACATCCCACTCAAATGACAGAAAACACCATGCGGCTGCTTAGAGGAGAAGCAAACTGTTCATACCAATCGTGCCCCAGAACTACGGTGACCACCGGTCACCACCCCTTCGTCCGGGCGACACCAATCGTGCCGGGCCCAAAATGGCCGTTGGCGCAGGCGAAGAACTCGCCCCCCGCGGCAGCTTCGAGCCAAAAGGAGAAGGGATGCATTGGATCGAAGCTGAGTGGTTGTGCCTTGTCCCAGTTTTACTGACCCCATGATAAAGACTCATAAAGTTCCGGTATGCTCGGGTTTATGTTTTATACAATAATGTGTTTTGTGAGTTCCTCAATGTTCTTCATATTTGTTTGATAGACACCCGCACGTGGTGTTAAATGTGAAAAGGTCGCAATCAAACGCAGGTAAAAGGATATAAAAAGGAACTCACCTAAGGTTGCCAAATGGAATCGCAAGAAATAGGAGACGGCGCACAAAAGGACAGCTTGGAAAACGAAAGGACATCACGTTCAAGAGATGAACAGGAACCCGGAAGCCCGGAAGAGGTAAAGAAACTCGAAAGAATCATGAATCATCAAAAAAACAATCAAGTGGAATCAAAGGAGCAAAAGGACATCAACCGGCTTGCCACGACCAAAAGTCGATCATTCCAGGGCCAGACCAAAATTATATACTTGTTGGTGGGTCATCCGTCCATTGCCCAACCCCTAAGAGGGTAGCAAACCAAAGTGCCTCCCAAATCCAAGGTTCAAGAGCTTCCGATTTCCAAGATTGTTCTAGTTGACCAGGAACCAGAAGGAAATGAACTTTAGCAATCGATCAAAGTGCAAGAGTTGGCGTCCCAACTCTCTTCCAACTGATTTCCGTATATAGCTTTGTTGGCACGGATGGGAAATCAGTCTCCGTGTCCCCTGCAAGTAAACCAAAAGGTAACCTGTGAATCCAAGGTGTACACACATGTACCTGTCAAGTCAATCCACGGCTGACCCCTCACAGTTGTTGTAAAACAAAGCAAAAAAAACGATCAAAGTATACAGAAACACAGTGAATCAGTGTTGCACCCCATATGTTGGGGTTGTCAACAACTGAGGACAAGCCAAGCAAGAGAAGGTTACCAGTGGATCGGCTTGGCTGGGCTTGGCTGGGTATCAATTTCAACAACTAAGTCACGAAGTTGAAGCGACAGCTTTACTGTGGTTTAAGCGGCCAGCCCTGCTCTCAGCAACTGTTACACGCGAGGGAACCATTTTGTTTGGTCAAATGCCTTCGGCCTGTTGTGCTAAACCATGTCTTTTGTGATCAACATGAGACCGTCAAATAGGGACAACAACATTTACACCATTTGTCCTGCCCATCGTTGCAGGTATCTACCCCTCAAGATTGTCTAAGCACTTGTGGGCTTTAGTTATTCCGTGGTACAACCTCCCTCTGCATTGGAGGGTCACACCTATTTGGTAGTTTCGGGCCAGGTCATGTAAATGCCGTTTTTAACAAACACCTTCGTGCTACAGGTATACTGCTGGTTGGTAGGTCAGGCTTGCTGACTTTTTTCGGGTAGGATGCACACAACCACTAGCCAAAACATGGAATCTGTTGAGGTGTAATTAGCACAATGCACCTTTGTTGAATGAACAGGTTTCACGTCATTTCTTGTAATTGCATAATAATATACAAAAATACCTCTTCACAACCGCATTTGCTGAATCCCCCGCAGGCTGTTCATTCCATTTCTCCAGGGCGTCTCTTTCGGAGCGATCCGAAGCGTCTCAAGGAACGGCACACTCAATTCAGAGCGATCGCTGGCGATCGCACCACCCCCAATGCTCAGGAGGCGTGGCCAGGCGACCGGTGGCCCAGTCGACGCAGTGGTCTCGAAAAGCGTATATAAGTGGACCTGGCCTTCAATTGTTTTTGGCTTAGCAAAGAGTGGGTATCGGTTGTTTCCTGCCCACACCAAGGAACTCAGTCACTGTGAACAACTAGAGGTCAGTGGATCATTCACCAGCTGTTCATCATCAGTTTAGATGTCCACAAACCCTGTCCTCAAAACCTTACAAAAGCCATGATCCATGGCCCAAACAAACTGTGTTCGTAAACTGTTCTCGCATGGTCATGGGGCATCATTGCTTACTTTCGTCGATGCGAGGTGCATTCGCGATTCGATCCCTTGGGTAGGATGAGTGCCTTACAGTGTGCCTGCAAAGAGTCAGTGTGTCTCATGCGAGGTGAAGGCCCATGACCACTTGAATTCAATAACACGGTGGAGCACTGAAATGTTCAGAAGAACCGCAGTCTCAGTCTCAACACTCGGCCTGCAATGCTGAATTTTGGCAATTGTGGACCACGAGTTCGGATTCTAGAAGCATCTGAGTTCGATATATATATATATGTGTGTGTGTGAGGAACCTCTCAACGTATATTTCTAACCCACACACAACTGGTGTCAAAGAATCACAATTTAAGCTAACATACATAGTTTGGATATGTTTGGATCACTAATTATCTGACGCCCCTCAGTACTACATCTCCATATGCAGCACGCATGACATTGCAACAACTATTGTCCAGTATAGTGAGGTTGATTAAAGCAAAACATTTGCCTTCGCGATGATTGCAAACACCAATCATCGCCTTCATGCAATCCAACTAACTAGTAACTAGTGTATATAATGGATTGCAATGACTTGTTATCAAACAAACTCTCACACCATGTGGGAATCACTTGTACACCCTTCTGTGGGACATTGCTCACGCCAGCTGTACCGACCCTCTTTGCGCTTCTTGCAAATAGCTACAACATGCTAAAACTCTTATGTGTCTTGATGTTAGAAGACTGATGATTTGCGTGTCATATCTACGTAACTTGAAAACATCGTTGTCTACGGTACATGAGGAAAGCGTGGGAGTATGTGTACTGTGTACCCCTTTGTGTCATTGTGTGGCGCCCGGATACGCGTGACCACCTGAGAGAACTCGAACGTCTTCGTTCTTTAAGCAATGAGAACAACTGTTCATCTTACAACCCCACTGTAAACGAGACAAGAACGCAACATTCCTTTGAAGACGTGCCTTAAATACCAAACAACCAACATGTGGTAAGGGTCATCGAACCGTCCATCGCTCCTTATGGAAGAAAGTGTGCGTTTCGCGAGGGGTCGTTGCGGGCGGAAACAAACTCTCACACTGGGAATCACTTGTACACCCTTCTTGTCCCCTACTTGCAATTCCCCAGGACTCGAGTGCTACCCAGTTGACATGTCGAAACCAAGATCATGCAACATGTGCCGAGTGAAGAAATTCCAGGACACTACCAAAAGTCTGCGTGGCTCAGATGGAATTGCCTCTCCCAGGCCTGCAAAGAATAGAAAATCATTTTCATGCAAAATTTTCTCCAAAGACCCCAGTACTGTGACATCTTTTTGTATCGGAACATGTTGAAACCTGAAACCGACCAATTTCTTCTTTCTCAATTCGCACCTGCAGGAAGTCTGCGATCAATGTGCATGGCCATGACCACCATGACCACCGTGCCCTCCGTGGCTATGGCCACTGCAATGGCCACCGTGCTCGCCACTATGGCCAGTGTGACCATGGCAGCCGCCGCTGTCGTGACCCACGTGGCTATGGCCGTGGCCGTGCTCGCTTGTGACGCTCTTCGGGGAGTCGCAGCCTGACCAAACAAAATGTCTGACGGGGTGTTTTCTCTGGGAATTCAGTGGGGCACCCTGGTGGGTTGGAGTGGAATTGTGAATGTAGCCGTGTAGCGTGATGCAAACCAAAGAGCCCTGCTTCGTCTGATAGCAAGGAAAACAGCTGATTGATTCGTTGATGATTGATCAGTCAAACCTTCGGACTGGGGAATTTCCTTCCTTGACTCCATCCAGGACAAATGGATCACATCGGAGTTAATCTAATATCTACCGTAGACACTTGTACATTGAATGCACATCACAAGTCGTCTCAAATTGCAAAATCGTACAATATCAAATCAAGACCACCTTGAAGCTGAAACCGACTCAACTTGAATATGCAAATGTCGGTTGACGTACTAGCCCTGTACTTGTGAACCAAACCAATGGTTGGACCGTTGTTGCAGCCACAAAACAGAGATGAACACACAGCCAACTGGCACAAATATGTTCACGTCCGAACTTCAACGCGCTGCTGTCACACAGGAAGTTTGAAAAGTCCCCTGCCCGAAAAAATGCATGTGTGTAGCATGCTACACAACGTTGTATACGCACACAGAAAGACAATGGCACAAGAGCAATGGAATGACAGGAAGTAACGGCATGTAGCCTACATCCAGACGTGGAAGTCCTTGCAATGCAGCTGTGGCAAGCAAATTCCACGGGGACACCACCCCACGACTAAGTCATGGCCAAAATCCCTTACACTACGTGTTTCTGCAAGGGACACCGCGTTTCACCAAGCAGCCTGCTAAGCTTAAAGCACATTTATAACATTTACAACACCCAGTTTACAACGGGACACTGCACAAGAAAGCAGCAAGTGAGAAGGATTCGTAGCCCGGTCAGCAGACCAGCAGCAGCAGCAGCAGCAAATCAGCAGTCTCCCAACATAGGTTTGGACGCACAGCTCGCCGCTTCCAGGAACCACTGTGATACAGTCGTCAATCGTGTTCCAAGCACCAGTCACCAAACAAACAGCTAAACAAAATGCCGGACACAGAGTTACTAAACAACGACCGCTTCCACTCCTAACACAAAGCTGCATGGGACAACCCTAGCCCTAGTCAAAATGGAGCGAAGTCAAAAACATGAAATCGAAACGACTTTAACACTTGGGAGCACAAGCTTTCAATCTGGCTTTCAAGCCGTGAGGGCCAAGGATTCTAATCGTGCCGGGGCCGCATGAGCAATTGATTTAAGTCCGAGCATTTGATCACGCTGTGACAAACATGCGGTGGACTCCTTCGCACTTGACTGCACAACTGCCAAAGTGGCCTCTCGACACTGTTGCGGATCCCCATCCACAGTTCTACTTGCAGGAGGTACGTGCAACTGATCAAGCTGCATATCCTGAGGACACCATAGAGAGCGCTTCGTTGGACACAGCTCTATGGGCTTGTGCTCCTCTGCTGTATGACGCGGTGAACAAAAGCTTGAATTGAAGAGCTGAACTTTCCAATGTAGTGACTCTCACTCCACACACACACACACAACCTAGTGAATGCAGTGGCCCCCATAGTAGGTATAGCCAATATTAATCAATATTACATATATATATATATATATTATGTAGTTAGTTGCAAAACTGCAGCCATATCAGCCAATAAACATCCGCGCCGTACACCTGAGAAACTCTGCTTCCCCCCCAAAGCACGGCGGCCCGAAAATGATGACAAATCCAATCACGTTGACTGAACATGAAATTCCATGCATGAAGCAAACCGATCGCAACAGAATACCGCCGATGCCGCTCCATCTTGGCTGGTTTGTCGCCTCCACAATCGGTGATTGATAGGTCGCCCAAGACCTGCGGCTGGACGATTGACCACTCAAACCCGAGTTTTTGCACCATAGAAAGAGAGAGAGAGAGAGACAGACATGAATCGGACAAGGGCACTCCTTTGTTCAAATGCCTTTCAACCGATCTATATAAACAGCCACTGTGGAGATCAGAACAAGGCCTTCAACAGAAAAACTTGCTGTCCGGCCAATTCCTCAAGAGCGATGATACAAACTTTGAGAGGAACATGTTGGTCAACGATCGATTCAGTGCATCAGTTGATGCACTTCAACCATTTGCCGTAGTGCTCCATTCTCAACCTAACAAGGTTGGATTTCTTCAGGTCCCCTTGACTCCTGGCATGCTCAGCATGCTCCAGGTTGGAAGAACCGGTCTGGAAGCCCATCCAAATCGTTCGAATCCGACAGATATGTTCCAAAGGAATCCAGCTCTGTAACTTGGACTGGTTGCCTGGACGAAATACAGGTGTTCAATGATTTGCATGTTCTCGGGCCGGCACACTTGCACTAACCCTCGAAATCGTCCGCCCAAAGGACGTTTCACCGTGATCGCCTGGATTTGTGCCATGAAACTCTTCGTTTCCGCAGAAATCCAAGATGTGGAACACCCTCCATCTCACAGCTCAAAGGGTTTAGATAGTTGGTCAAAAAAACGTTCGGAATGGCGCCAAGAGCTCTTGCCGAAGTCCTAATGTATCTTGGTAGTGAGTGTGCCATTCCAGTGCATTGCAGAAAAAAAATCGCTGAAGGTGCCATTCAGCGACACGGCAACCGCACGGTCACCGACCAGGCCTCCATTTGGAAGGTGGAGTGTCCCACACCCGCACGTCGCACGACCTTGATCGCCTCAGGTGTGAACCCGACATCTCCGACGGAACAACGCCGGAACGAGGGTGGGTCGCCCCCCGGAACATATGTTTGGATGCAACTACTGGTGCAACTATTGCTTCGACTATGTGACTATATGTTGCAGTGTATAAGCATTTCTCACAATACACAACTGAGAACGCATACACATACATATATGAGTCCACCATAGTCCACCCTACAATGACCAGCAATGACCGTCGAGGGAATCCCTATATGGATCCCTCCTTTGAGACAGCATGTGCACAACCTCAGTGCCAAAATCCCCTTCAGGGTTTTGGTGCTCCGAGAGTTCCTGTTGTCTCTTGTGAATCTTCTTGGGCCGCCAATGCAACCCCAAAACACTATGTGTGTATATATGTGAATCTGAGAGTTAAATATGCATGTTATCGATCTATTTATCTAACAAGCAAACTGTCAACATCTTGTCAAAAGCAACAACAACAAATACACATACAAATCGTACAAATGACCTGGATGTAAAACTATCCTTTAAATACAGGCTTGTTTCTTGCGAATGTACTTTGAACTCTCAACAAACTCGAACAAAAACACAGTATACACAAACATAGAATAGACAGGAAACAAGCAGCTGACTTTTTGTTACAGCCTAATAGTGTGAACAAAAACACCTTGTGTCTATCGTTGTATTATGTTATTTTATCTTCTGGCTGGCTTCCGAGTCATTGCTCCTTAAACTCTATCATAATATACTATGACCATGTCTACATACAACTTCAACAAGCACAAACATATACAATTAGGTGTTTGGAATGTTCTCGATCATTGTCAGCTGCTGCAGCGCTTTGGTCCTTGCTTAAAACATCCTAAACGTAAGCAAAGAGCTTGCCTTTCGATTTGTTCCCTCTCCGAAAAGCTTGACACGCTCCTACTTACTGTAAGCCATCTGAGGCATTTTGGATGATTATATTATATCAAACCAAAGTCGTTTTGGGCGGTGAACCTGAGTGAGATCGGTTCATCAGGCGTTCGGTGCCAGGGTGGATGTTGCTTGTTGAGACTTGTGAGGCGGTTGTGTCATCTGTTGCATCTCATCGGGCATCCTCCCATCCTTGGATCATTCGGTACGCCAAGCAAAAAAACTGATACCTTGGGAATGTGTATCAAGAGATTGACAAAACTGCCTAGTCCTCCAACAAACGCAAAATTCCTGCTTCGATTCACTCTTCAGGTTTTAAGAAGCCCTTTGTGTCTAGAGATTGCTCTTGGACATGGATAAATTTGACATGCCAGCGTATCTTGTCTGCCAATAGAAGGGATTGCCGCCCTTGCCTGAGACAGCCAAGGGCAAAACCAATGGTATCCTAACCTTTCCAGGTTTTGAGGCTCCAACGGTCCAGTCCTTGCTCCACGGAACCTCTTGTCCCCCCCGCACCTGGCGCAAGGCCTTCGCTTGGTGCTTGTGCTGATCTACCTCAGCCAGCTAAGCCCAGGGCGATATATCTTGGTCGTGCAGTGAACAAAATGGAGGCCCCCGGCAGCCCCCTTGGCAAAAAGAAACAAAGAGCTTGGTTCCCAAACCAATTAATGTCTACATATATATAATCCGCCTACGAATTCGGCCTCACATTCAGGCTTAAATATTGATTTTCTAGACACCCAGGATTCACGGTACACAAAGGTAATTAAGAAATTGAAAAAAAAAGCTAGAAGAACAGTTCAATGCATAGAATGTCCCTGCCTGCTAAAGAACAGGAACCCGCCATTAAAAAAAAAAAAAAACTAAAACACTCAAGAAACAGTACACAGTACACCCAGGTGCAAGTCAAAATTTGTCTGCTCATGTGGGCTCTTGCACACTCAATATTGCACAACGAAACCATACAAAACAAATCTCTAAAAATCAAGATCAAGGTACGCCTTGCCACTTTAAAGAACGGCAACCCCCGGGTTGGAGTTGGGCTGTTGCACCCTGCTTATTCTACTGATGTTGTTCTTTAAGACAACCTGGGTTGTTTGATTTGTTAGACTAGAGAGGAAATTCGCTCGGGAAATATTATATATATGCGTTCGTTCCAAGGTTAAATCCTTTGCCCTGCAAGACATGTATGAACATTTGTGTCACTTCGCACGGTTGAATGTTCTCCGTCCAAAGCTGCTGCTTCCTTGCTTCATTCTTTTCCAAGCGAGTGATACTTGGCTGTCCGACAATGGCAACATGAAATGGACTTCTTAATTCGACCGCAGCTGATCCACATAGATGTTATAAGATCCAGTCACCGAAGTATGGATGGTGAGTCCCAGCATGGTCCTTCTTCCAGGGCAAGCCCATCCCAAAGCGAACGGACCTCTTAGACCCAACTTGTTGAAGTGAAAGGTTCCAAAGCTTCTGTGAGTATGTTCTCTCTCTTTTTTTTTCAGCCCGTGGCCCTGCCTCCTTCTTTTTGTTAAGTAGGCGCCTACTTAATGAATGTAAGGGAGAAGTTCGTTCCTGGCTACTTAGCTACTGGACGCCGGATAGCTCACGCTTCTTCAAGGAAGCTCTCCCCGGCCTTAATGATTTGGTTCCTAGACTTTTAGGAAAACTTCACAAATTACTCATTTTTCATAGATACCGACCCGATAATAATTAAAGTCCCTTCATATCTCTAGCGACGTTACATCCATCACATCCTCCGACCTCACCGGGACCAACACCGACGTCGGTGGGATCCCACATGCCCAGATGCCACAAGGTGTGCGGTGCAAATGACGTCGGCAGAGCCCATGGTCCAAATGTGGAGGTCGTGGACAGAGCTCACCTCACACCACGGTCACCGAACCGGTCCTTCTTTCCGGTCACGGTCACCACGCGCGGCGAGTTCTAAAAGACTTGGTTTACTTCATCCCAGTGTTGTACTGGATTTGGTTTCAAGCAGCAGTGGGTTCAAGAGGGTGGAGATTCGCCGCAATGTTACAGAGATGTTCCAAGTAGATAGACCAGTAACTCCACAAAAAATAAACTCTGGGGGGGGCCGACATTAAGCGCATGCCTGAATACCCAAGCCTTGTGACATGTCCATGCCGAACATCGACTTCGGAACATGTTCAGTCCCGAAGAGATCACCGCAGGACCGTTGTTGGGAATGCTCAACTGAGAGGGTGAGTCTAGACATTCTCAGGGTTGTCTTTGACGGCGAAGCATATGCTGGGCTGGGTGGTAGGTTCCACAAGTTGGAGAGGTTGACTGATGGATGTCAGGCAACCTGCTCAAAAGGGCCTTAAAAGGGAAAGACACCACCTCCTACAAGCTTGTCTGGGGCCGAGAGTGGTTGTTCTTGCTGGTTTCCTGAAAACACTCACTCCAAATCATCTTCTCAAGGTGTCAGTCAGAAAAAGTTTGTGAAACAATGGCAACCGGCCCGGAATCCCAGCATGGGTGATCTTCTCCAGGTCAGCTGATAAAGTCATCCTTGGCAGAGCAAAACCGTCTTCTGGCATTGTCTTTTTGTTTCGGGGAATAGATAGAGATTGGGTGGGCTGAGTCACATGAAATAAAAGGCAAGATCCCTGCGAATACCGCGCAAGCGTTGAAACACTTGTCTAAGAGTCTAAGACCTGGGCAACATGAAGACTAGTAGCATCAGGCTTCTACAATAGGGAAAGCTTTTGGATACGGGATAAAGTTGAATCAAGGAAATTTTGGTTCAGCCAAGGATGACAACTGTGTATAACATGGTCATTGAACAGAAAACGAAAATGATTAACATTTCGCAAAGGACAAGATGCTTGTCAAGAAAGGACTTGCGTCTTGAGAAAAGGATGAGGGTTGAACACATGAGAAACTGTGTAAACAAGGAAGGCCTTTACAGGGACCACATTACGTTGTAAGGCATTGTAAGGTTGACAACCCTGGGAAGAGAAGAAGAACCAGCATCTTTACAAAGA